CACGTTGGGACTCCTGTTCGCGCACTGTGTGTCTCGCCGCCATCGTTCTCGCCAGACGTCATCTTCACGTTGGGACTCCTGTTCGCGCACTGTGTGTCTCGCCGCAATCGTTCTCGACAGACGTCATCTTCACGTTGGGACTCCTGTTTGCGCACTGTGTTTCTCGCCGCCATCTCCCTCGCCAGACGCCGTTTTCGCCAGACGTCGTATTCATGCTTGGACTCCACCTGCGCAGGCTTTCCCTCGCCGCCATCTTTCTGGCCCTTCCTTCTTCTCGACCGGTCGTCTTTCTCCCCGTTCGGTCGGGCATCGTTGTGGCAGCCGTGTGGTCGTCGTCTTTTCGTAGTCGCCATCATCGCTGTCTGTCTTCTCGGCGATAACGAATACTCGCAACTCTGGCAAGGGGAAAAGGGAGAGGGACTCCCAGAAAAGGGAAGCTGCCGGCGTCGTGAAGCGGGGGAGGCATCGGGCGAAGAAGCCCAAGGCATCAAGCGGCGGTGCTCTGGTGATCGGGAGGTCCACGCGGGAAGAGTGGGTTACCGAGACCAGCAGCGGACAGGACGACGATTTCAAATTGGAGGCTGACACGTTTCATGGGAGGAAAGGGACCTTGCGTGAAGTGTCGAACGCGAGAATGGTGAGCGGAGAGGAAGGCGTCGACGGTGGTAAAGATGGGGGTCACGGGGTTGCGCGAGGCAAGGGTGAGGGGGCCAGCGACGTGGGAGGCAGTGTTGCTGCCAGGGAGGAGCGTGGCCAGCTGACGACCCCTGGCATGCGCGGCGCCATGCCGTCGAAGGACGTGCAGGCGGTCCAGGACGTCGGTAAACACCCGCCAATGAGGGCGCCTTCTAACCCAGCGACGCCCACGGCGGGACAGGCGAGAAGGGATGAAGGGGCGGGGGTGAATGCGGCAGTCGGGGGACAGCTTGCGACGCGCATTCCCGCAAAGGAAGCCGCAGCGGTGAAAGCCGTCGTTGGTACATCGACGACAGGCGCCGGGGGGGGCGGTGGCGACGGTCGTGATGATGCTGATGACGACGATCCCCTCATTAACAGGCAGAGGCGATCCGGAAACATGGCGGCTCTGGAGGCGAAAGCGAAACTGTGGGTAGACGATTTGCATTTCGGGAATGAGACGGAGGGGCATGGGATGTTCAAGATCATCATGGAGACGTGCCTGCACCTCATCGCCATCGCGAAGGGTGTGAAACCGCCAGAGATCAGAAAAAGCGTTGTCCTCCCGAACGCCACGATCCCTCAACAGAAGATGGAAGATGTGTCGGAGTTGGGGGCCGCGAAGGAGAGGGCTTCGAGGGTGCAGACCATAGCGTTGCGCATCATCCATGGGTGGATCTTCAAGTCCCCCAATCGCGCGCGCGGGTACCACTGCTCCTACGGCTATGTGCTGAACCACGTCGCCACAGACCTCGCCCGCGCCATCTGGTTTGGAGAGGACTGGCGGGTATGTGTGAGTCTGGTGGTCGTCCATAACACCTTGGAGCTTCATATGAAGCTCCCCATCTGGTACGTAGGTGGCGTCATACACGACAGGCATGAGGACGACGAAATGGCATCGTATCAGGAGTCCACAACGCAACATCTGGTGGGAGCTTTCACGAATGCTGTTGACACGGGGGAGGGGGTAGACGGCGGGCGGATATCGTACGAGAGGCTGAGGAACGTGGCAGACTGCATGCGCCTTTTGCTGTCTGCCGCCATGTGGATCATGCGAATGGCGGGAGATAATCTCCGTTCGCATTATGAGGCGTCCCATCTCGTGGAGCTCATTGCGAAACCGACGCTCATTGCGTCGCTGCATCGCTCGTTCGACGCGCGCCGCCATGTTCTGCAGTGTGTCAATGCAGTAACGGAGAAAATGGGGAAGCCCCCCATGATGTCGGTCGACCCTCCGGTGTACATCCCCGACTGGGTTTTGTGTGGGGTGTCGTTCCACAACGACGCCACGTTGACGTCTCCTGAGTTCGCCAGACGACTAGATTGGTTAGGCACCGGACCTCCGGAGATCGATGATGAAGACGAGGAGAAGGACGAAGGCGGGGAATTGTGACGGAAGGCGCTGTGGACGACGACAGGAGGTGACCGCGCACAGCCACCTGCTGCTGTTGCTGATGACGACGATGATGTCGACGATGATGACGTGATGATGATGATGATAACGGTGAAGATGATGATGACGGTGATGACAACGATGATGATGAAGACGATGTTCATGATGATGCTGATGATCGTGATGCTGACGATCGTGATGATGACGGTGACAATGATGATGGTGATGATGAAGATGATGATGATGATGAAGATGATGATGACGATGTGCAAGATTAAAGTTGATGATGATGATGACGATGATGATGACTAAGGTGGTGATGGCGATGACGACGATAGTGGCGACGACGACGATGTTGTCGATGATGATGGGGACAGGAGTTGGCATGGCGTGTGAATAGCGGTTGCGCGGGTTTCGTAGTCTGTCTTCTACTTCCTTTGCGTCGAGTCGTTTCCTGTTGTTAAAGCGGTTGTCGAGCACTGGTGAGAGCTTGGTTTCATATAGCTGACAGCAAAGTGTAGTCGACATGCACGTCTTTTCATTGAAGGGTCCACTCATCGTCAAGTGTGCAGTGTCATTAACGTCCATCATGTCTATGCGCATCATTGATGCTAATTTGATATCGTGTGCTATGGCGACCATTCGTTTTATATCGCAGACGTGTTTTCTAATGTTTGTTCTTTCCGATTGCAAAGCTTCCATGTAAAGTTGTGGGTGATAAGGTGAATGAATTCTGCGTGAGAGATTGACGTTTTCACTCAGTGACCTTCTTTGTCGCCCACTCAACGTTCAACCATTCACAACACTTTTACGAAGATGAAGACGAATGATTGGCAACAGAAAATATGCACTCCAACATTTGGACCATGGACAAATGTGAACTCAAATGAATGCTATCATCAATGGTTTGCACTCATTCACATCATCACGCACGTAAGTGCGCCCTCATCTCGGCACGCAGGGCACATGAAAGGGAAAAAAATAGTCCACGACAAGCAATAAAACTCGGGAAACAAAAAACAATAATCATCAAACCCTTGTAAACAAATAACAAGTACACTGTGCGCAGTACTGCGCTTTAAAAATCGGGGAAAAGGAACCCGGACGCATGCATGCGTCTGTCGCACACCACAGACCCGAATCGTTATGCCCCTCTGCCTCACGTTCGTGCTGCCCTCATCTGCCATCTTTGCTATATTGAAACCTGGGTGCCTGGGGAAAGGGAAAGATTGGGTATAGGCTAGTCGGGGAGAGGTGGGGGGAGGAAGGGCTAACATCCCCGGGAATGGATAGCTGTTTAAAGTTGGGGATGCATTGGGAGATTGGGCAGTGGTTTGTGGGGAGGGGTGGGGCGAGGACGTGGACGGTGGTTGGGGTGGATTGTGGTTTCCCCATCTCTACATGCTTTGCTTATCTTTGGGCGCCCAGGGAATAGCTCGCACTGCTGGTAAATATACTAAACACATGGAGCCAGGATGGGTATGTCTCTTTCACTGATCAGGGCGGGGGATTGTGGTTAGGCTCTCTGTTGGCGTTCGAGTATGAAATTGCTAAGAAGGGAGGGCCGGTACCATCTTGTTCGCCCCCGGGTAGCACACCCGGCAGATAATATAATATGCGAAGTGGAGGGGAAAAGGCTGCTGATATCCCCTTCGCTGCCCCTTTTTCTCCCTATGACAGACAATCTCAGGGTGACAGACGAGCTGCCCGTTGATGTGATTGCAAATCAACAATTAACAAGTCACATGAACTGACATACATACAAGCTGCTTGGCCAGGGGAGCATCCCAGGGTCAGGATACAACTGGCTTCCTCAATTTCACCGGCATCCTTAGGCTGGGAGGGGGTTTACGGATTGTGTAGGTAATTTTGTATGGGTTTCCCCAGATGCAATTGGAGTCACCCGCATCCGTGGGGGTGTATTCAACTGTATTGTCTTCGCCGGATTGCCTGAAGTGCATTTTCAGACTCAACCCCTGACTGTGCCGTAGTTTTCTCTTGATTGAAAGCACAACGAATGGTGAGATGCAAGAGCACAAGGCAACCTTTAACAGCAATTTCGTCAAAGTGGGCTTTTTTTTTTCCTTTTTTTTTAATTTTAACGAAATTGAAACCCACTAAATTGGCCCCATGAATGTCTAAATTTTTTGCTCTTGAGGGTACAGCGTTCTTAAAATGCTGGACATAGATTGATGTGCATTAAACTGAGACACAGTAAGTTACTAAGCCGCGACATATGAATGGTAATTTCAGGGAAACATGATATATATCGATATATATTAGGTGAGGATTCTGAGGACTGGAGGTTTCTGGTCAGGTGGGGTCCCCCCTTGGGGGTGTGTTGTCTTCGGCCCTTCAGGGGATTGCCTGGAAGTGCATTTGCAAACTGTTTTCGTGACTGCGCCCAAGTTACCCCTTGAATTAAATTTTTGGCACAAGACGGGTCCGACGGGTGTGCTACGACTCTATGAGACCATGAGGATGAGGTTGGCACTCGGGAGGCAGTATACTATTAAGCGTTGAGTCGTTGACAAAATGACAATGTAATTAATAATTATGTTAAACTTTGAGGATGATGCAGTCTGTGGATGTTGGACTGCCTAAAGGTTTTTGAAGTTTGACTGTCCGCCGCTTGGCTGCCTTTACTCTACTACTACAGTCTTCCCCCGAATACAACGTACGGTCATTTTTGCTGAATTTGGTACATATATCAGTCTAAATTCAGCTATAATGACCGTGCGTTGTATTCGGGGGAAGACTGTAGTACTACTAGTGCATTACTCTCATCTCGCATGCGGCATGCTTACATTGCTTAGTGACCAAACCAGGCAGTGTGATGTGCTGCTGCCTGTGAGAACAGACTCGTAGTCTCTAGAAAGGCCGTCCGGGAAGGACATTGGTCTGCGTGCAAACAGCCCAACACAAACTGTTTTTGTGTCCGAAATTGCGTGGCGCAAAAGGGGGAAGGCTATAGGCTAGCTTGAAAGCCTTGAATCAGATATCAAGCACCACTAGCACTGGCGGTTGTTTCAAAAAAAAAAAAAAAAAAAAAAAAAAAAAAAAAAAAGACCGAGCAAGGGGTAGCTACGGTAACCAAATTCTCCAGAAAAAAAAAAACAAAAAAAAACATAGGTCTAGAGCGGAAGGTGTTTAATTCCAGGCAATGGCTCCCCGAATGATTTGCGAATCCTCATCTCAATGACAGGTACAGGACATGCCTAAGTCAGTCGCTTATTGTTAGAAAGACTTTCAAATTGTTTGTCTGGTTACCCCGAAATTTATGACATTGAAATAAAAGTTTCCGACTTTCCAAAAAAAAAAAAAAAAAAAAAAAAGAAATTTATGACATTGGTAGTCGCTCAGTGTGTATAGCGTGGATTCGTACAACTGGCCATGCTAACTGATTCTAGTGAATCTAGTGGCATCAAGTGTCAGACTCTGACGTGGACCTCAATCACCTCTCAATGCACCTCATCCTGACAATTCGTGGCAGCAAGTATCATTTTGTCTTTGTGAATCTCTCTCTCTCTCTCTCTCTCTCTCTCTCTCTCACACACACACACACACACACACACACACACACACACACACACACACACACACACA